CCGTATGGGTAGACCCAAGGAGGATGATATCCAGAGAGCTTAATGTAAATTCAGAGCAAATAAATTTGAATAAAAACAGACCACTTTAAGGTTTCATGTAATAAATTATTTCCCCACAGCCCTTTTAAAAGGCTATGGATCATCAGACTTTACTTCCAAAGGTTGAAATGAAAAATGAAAAGAAATTTACACTTTTTTGACGGGCCGTGCTGAAATATGTAAAATTAACGAAGAGAGGAAGTGAGGGGGAAGAGAAGACATGAGTGAGTTAGATGTACCATTTCAATTCTTTATCCTTAATATATATATGTGGTCCAGACGACGCTTAACTTAACGTATGTTATCTCTAGATATAGATGGGGGAAAAAGAAGAAAACCGGCCTCAAAGGAAAAAGATACAATAAAATAAATCATGAGAGGTGGTTTCACTCAAATTCTTATGTTTTGTTATTTTGTATTGTTTAGATATATATTTGGGGTTAAATTTATATATATATATATATATATATATATATATATATATATATATATATATACTGATTATCCACAGACAGACTGTTTCACAGTTCCTCAGTGTGACTAGATGTCTGATTTCTTCAAGCCGGGAGATAAACACGATTGATTTAACATCAGTCCGATATCTTGCCTCTAGGCTATCCTAGCACGACAGAAAGGAAAGGAATTCTAACGATTTTCTCTATGCGGAATACGTCACCGGCTTCGGGAACGTAATTCATACTTGATATGTAATGCTTAATAGCGGTAGGAACCGCTGTTTTTTTTTTTTTAAAAAAACCTTTCTTAGAGAGCTCATCCGGATTACCAGGAGCATGTATAGTCATCTACAGACAGATAAATTTCGCTGTATCATAGCTCATCTGTGTGGCTAGAAATTGCTTCAAAATGGATCGATCTTCCGACTTATAAACATCAGCCAGATATATATATTATATATATATATATATATATATATATATATATATATATATATATATATATATATATATAAATATAAAATATATGTTATTTATATAAAACAATTAAAAAGCCCAAATTGCTGTTTTTCTCAGGGATTTGTTTGGGAAGGATTCATTTGAAGCTTGTTAGAAAAATGGATGAGTGTTCAATATCGAAGATTGAGATAGAGCGCTAATAGAATTAATATGAAAATGCTTTTCCATAAATATATATATATATGTGTGTGTGTGTGTATGCGTGTGTGTTTGTGTGTGTGTCTGTATGTTTGTGTCTGTATATATCCTTTCATTCTCCCTTTTCTCCATCCAACATCTCCACTCTGCTCCTCTTCCATATCTGCCTCTTCCTCCTCTCTTTCGATTTGTCCTGTACCTTCCCGATTAATAATACTATTATGATAGAAGCTTGTAGCTGACTCAAGTTTAGTAGATCTGCGTATGTGAGAGATACAACTCTCTGAGCGTAATGGTAATGGTGATATAATGATTATGTGGGAACATTCGACAGTGCTACAAGAGTTACGCTTTTCTTTACTCTCTTGCAATCGGGCTGAGATCACAGTGCAAAATCTGTTCTCTTAATCCGTAATGTTAATGGTAATATAAGCTGCTTCATTATAAGGAGGCATTTGACATTCATTGAGCGAGCAACCAGAAGGAACAATGTTTGTGAAGCGAGTCATACTCGCTCGGAAAGCAAAAACATGAGCGACAGATGTCTGCGGACCGTCGAGTAGAAGAAGAAACAGTAGCAACTCTGGAAGAAGAAGAAGAAGAAGAAGAAGAAGTTGATGTGAAGAAGAAGAAAAGTTGATGAGAAGAAGAAGTAGAAGAAGAAAAGTTGATGAGAAGAAGAAGTAGAAGAAAAGTTGATGAGAAGAAGAAAAGTTGATAAGAAGATGAAAAAGTTGATGTGAAGAAGAAGAAAAGTTGATGAGAAAAAGTAGAAGGAGAAAAGTTGATGAGAAGACGACGAAAAAATTGACGAAATAGAAGAAGAAGAAAAAGAAGAAGAAAAGTTTATGAGAAGATGAAAAAGTTGATGCGAACAAGAAGAAGAAGAAGAAGAAGAAGAAGAAGAAGACGAAGAAGAAGAAGAAGAAATAAGACTTGGGTGGAGAATGATATATATATATATATATATATGTGTGTGTGTGTGTGTGTGTGTGTGTGTGTGTGTGTATATTTGTGTGTACTGCAACATAGAACATCACAACACTAAATCAATAAGCTCAAAATATACAGCAGCAAATGAAAAATCTGAACATTAATATTTTTGACGTATGCGATTATTACGTGGGTAAGCGTTGGCATTGAAAAGCAACAGATTTACATGATCATGCCAAAAGGTGCTGAAAAGCGAAAGGATACAGACTAAAGTAGGACGCATATTGGATATAGGGTTGGCGTCCCACATTTCTTATCAGTTATCGAAGGATCTATCATGACATCCACTAACTGCTCCAGGGTTCCAGTCCTAGCTTCCTCAGTTCCCAATTCACACCATATTTCTCATGAAACTGGTGACCAGTCACCTCTCAACTCTTTGGAGCGAGGTCATTGCAAAAAGGGAGATGCAGGAACAACAAATAAAAGCTCTACACCAAAGTTCATGAAATACAATGTCCTATTGTCTACAGCATTAACTTTCTAAAACACCATAGCTCGGGTTTCAGAATTAGACATTTGAAATCTGGCGGCAACAATGCAGGACCAAACAGTGTGGAAAGTGATTGTCAATGGAGTTCCTACCAAACATGGGGAGGTCGAAAGATGACCATGATGATGATGATGCTGACAATCATGATGATGATGATGCTGACAATGATGATGATGATGATATCTTTTGCGAGGACACATTTCTTTACTGGCAAGAGCGTAAATCTCAGATATAAGCATTTTATAGCAGATTAAATGACATTTTAACAACTGGGTGTTTACATTATTTACATGTGTGTTATTGACTTCGTTTTTTTTGTTGTTATCACAACGTTTCGGCTGTTATTCTCTTCGGCCTTAATCGGGTGTATATCGATTCGTGAATCTGTTATGGCCCGGTTCCTTGTACCACGGTGATAGTCCAAGGTAGAACCAATAAAGAACCCGAAGGCGGATATGGAATAACACAGATATATTACAAACAGGAATATATACAGAGAAGTAGAAAGTGTTAGCACGAACAATCAGGTTTAGTAGTAATTGTCTGAACGCGACTCTGTTTCGGACTGCCTCTGACTCGACTGACTGACTCACTCGCTCTGACTGACTCCTGAAGGACTTCACTCCAGACTTCAGACTGAACTCTTGCTACCTCTTGAGGTGCAGTACTTATTACATATGGAATAGTCAATTATGTTATTATGGGTAAGGTCCCATAACAGAATCCTGCAAGGGATTTTGAACTGAACACTATAACTGTAACGACGAGCCAATTCTGAACGTACTCAGCACAAGACACAATTATACACTGGCAGAACTTTGCGGTAAGGAGAAGAGATTGGACATTGAGGATCTGTAGACAGCAATACCGGACAGAAGAGTGTGAAAATGGATTGTCAATGGAGTTCCGACCAACTATAGGGAGTTCGAAGGATGATGATGATGATGATGATGATGCATATTCAACAAAGACATAAAGAAATGTTCTCTGGGATGCTGTAAATTATCTGATAGTATTCATATCGTTTTACCGAAAGGGAAGCTTTTTATTATATTCATTAGAGTTGTAATTGCTCTGACATCACAAAGTATGGAAGAAACTGAAGAGTATTAGTGTACACTAGACAAGAAAATACATTCGTTATGGAAGACTTGAATGCAAAAGTAGGAAAAAAGCAAACTGATAATTAATTTGGTGAAATTAGACTAGGAACCCATAATGAATGCGGAAAAATTGGGTCCAATCGTTATTGGGCAACATCTTGTTTCAAGAACACCCATAACGTTGATGGACATGTAGATAATGTGAAGAAAAGAAGAAGTAGAATACATTTTAGACAATAATGTTCACCTTTTAAAATGTCGAAGTGCAGCTCGATGTAGAGGATTACAGAATGAGCGCCACATTATATGCAAATATTTGTGGAAGATAACGATTAATCCAGACTTAATCAGGTTAAGATAGTAGTGAACGAGTAAACCTACACTGGCGGCGTGGGCGTGGTTCCAAAAGGCACCGGTGCGTGGGAAGAATCTGCTCGAGTTGAACCGCCATTTCACTAACAGAATACGTAGGAAATGACGGTGGTTCGCTGCAATCTGAGTGGCATGAGAGGACTTAGCCATGGCTGTTGGAACTGGTTCAGCTACGAAATGTTGTTCGTCTGAACACTTTCCATGGAAATAGCAATGGAGAGTGGCTTGCAAAATTTTGTTTGTGGGAATGGGGTGTAGAGTGGAAAATAATTAATCAGCCACAAAACTTCAGAGACTCTATTTAACTCTATCGAGACTGGGAAATAAAAACTGTACAGCTCCTTCCCATTATGGCGACAGTACTTCATTTTCAGTAAGATAAAGGTTTAGGATAGCAGGAATCAGGTAAATAACGATAAATAAGAGAAATGCAGTTTCCCACAGGTAAAATATACTTAAGTACTGACTGCGGAAGCGACCACCCTCCAGGGCTACGTAAATTTTGAATAAAATTAAAGAATTTGTAAAGGGCCAAATCAGTGCCCAAATAACAATATGACAGTGTTGTGGTAGGATCCACCTAATTTGCATAGTGGAGTACCGACCATATAAATATGGTTAGTACCGGGAAGAGAGGGAGGAATCAAGAGATTCAACCAGAGACTCTGCCCGATTGCGACTCAGTCAACACATTCTCCAGGAACGGTCTTACCAGGAATATACAAAAGACTATATGTAAATATTGTGTACACTTTCTTTTTTTAATACATTTTGTTCTAAGTACATTTTGTGTTGCATTATTATTCCATGCATTAGTCAAGTTTCAACAGACAGACTCCTGAATCACCAGAATTTGACACACACACACACACACACACACACACACAC